GTCTGCTCCAAAGTCCATACAATAAAAGCAGCTGACCAGTGAGTCACAATGACTGCAGGAGCACTGAGTGGACATGATACCACAGCACCTTTTAAAGGAATGAAACAGAAGCACGTAGGAAAGCATAGAGGAGCAATCACTTGAAAGAGTCATGTGTTTCATTTCTATGCACTGATAGTTTGTTGAGTCTGAACCACAATCAAATAATGTGCTCTACCAGTTCAGTTCCTTGAATGCTAGAAGTTTACAAATCTACACACAAAAAATTGCTACAAGTACGAGATACAATGGACAAAAAAACACAGCACGAGTGACAGAAGGTTCCTTGTTGCCCTATCACATGTTTAGTATCACTGCATATCTTCTTGAATGCAGATTATGTGAGCAAAGTTCTCTAAGAGGAATCAAAAATAAACACTAGGGACTCACTAATACTTCCAGTTCAATTGCATTGCTTCATAACTTCCTGAAGAATGGAGAGTGTAAGAAAAATAGAGGTTCTTTCTTTCTGGTTGGACATTTTTAAGTTATCTTTTGTAAGACCACATAAAATGAGTTAATTCTCAAAGAATTACATAAATAAAACATTACATAAAATATGTCTCAGTAGAATTTATGTGAAGTGAATTTCGCAAGGACCAGTTTATTGTAGAAAATTCAACTTATCTCTTCCTGATCCTTTTATTCTATCTAAACATAGAAATTTATGTCAGTTCAAAAAAATCTATTACTACTTCTCATAACCAAATCTATTATTTCCCTCCATGATCCATCAGGTAAAAACAAGTGCAATAGATAGCTCTAGCAGAACCTTGAGCATAAAAGGCCTCAAGAATAGAATGAGATAAGTTAAACCTATCTCGCTGTGCACTGTAACTGGAAATGATAATCTTGATGTTTAATTTAAACCAAGTCACAGCAAAGACTTCTGACTGTAATTGTTATCTGTCATATAACTACAATTATTATAAAATGGAATTGGACTTGGAAAGGTATAGCTTTGCCTGTTGCATTGCCTGTAAGCAAACTGAACTCTGTGAAGGTTTATTGCCCTTTGCTGCCTTCTTCCTCCAGTCTTTCTCAGTAATGGATCCATTTGACTGCTAAAATTTGGAGAGAAAGAGCTGAAAACAAATGATTAATTTTCCACATCACTTTTTATTTCCAGAGCTTTGCTGATGCCATTGCATTGCTGATTTTTCTCTCCTCTGTTCCCTTGCCAGCCCCAGGAAAAAGAGATTCAAAAAGAGAGCTCATGTTAGAGCGGCAGCGTTTCACTGGTATAACAGCAGTTTACAGACAGGCAAAATAAGGGAGCAACTTCAAGTGCGTGTGTTTAAGCCAGGAAGAGGAACCACTGGATCTCATAACAGGATCTGTGGTTTCCAAGCTTGTCCTCAGCTGGACTGATGACAGTGGCAAAGGGGCTCTACCAGGCATCAGACTTTCGCAGAGCAACCCAGTGCAAGAGAAAAATGAACATCCTGGCCCAGTAGCGTGCCTGCCTTCCCTTACTTCCCACTTCTGCTAAGGAAAGAGAGTGCACTGGTCACAGCACACATACCGATGGGGTGGAAATGGTGTTCAGGCTTGGAAGACAAAGACTGACTGCACCTCTTCCCCTACAGTACGTAGCTCTGGGGAGAGCAAACATGCGCAGGCTGCCTCAAAGATCAATACAAAATAATTTCTTTGATGCACTGCCTATAATGAGACACACCAAAGTGAACCTACCTCCTGCTTCAGCCACTGCTGGTGTTTGTCTCTCACCCTGGGCCAGCACATGCTAGAGGCAGCTGGCAGATCCGAACTCCATTAACCAGCTGCAGCTGTGCAAGCATGCAAACAGAAAGCACAAGAGGTAAAACGGCAGCAGCCCAGCATGCCAGGCTGTATAACCTGGAGGACATCACATGCTGATGCCCGCTCCTCGCACAGCTCAGCAGGGTCCAGCTCATTTGCAGCTTCTGCTCATTTCAGCTAAAGGTGGCTCACGAGGCCATGCTCAGTAGAGGGAGCTTGAAACAGCTAATTTCAGTTTACAGCATATGAGTCATTACACACACCCCTCAGCAAAGAGTCTCATGCCTCCTGGGTATCTTTACAGCAGCCAACAGAAAGAAGCCAGTCAGGGGTGCTTTGGAGGAGAAATGCAGTTTTGGTGCACTGATTCATCAACTCAAGGAGCCTCTCTCTCTCTCCTTTGACTATAGAAGAAATTAAGAAGACAAAGTATTCAACTTAGCTGGACAAACAGAATTTCTGTTCCTTATATGATGGTTTAGGAAGATATTTATTGTACAGGTGTGCTTCCTTCACAATTACTGGTGTCACTTCAGCGGAGTTTTACAAGATCCCTTAAGCATAGCAGTCTTCCACTACTTAAAGGGGGCCTACAGAAAATCTGGAGAGGGGCTATTTACAAGGGTATATGGTGATAAGACAAGGGGCAATGGATTTAAACGAAAAGAGGGTAGATTTAGATTAGATCTAAGGAAGAAATTCTTCACTCTGAGGGTGGTGAGGCACAGGAACAGGTTGCCCAGAAAAGTTGTGGATGCCCCATCCCTGGAAGTGTTCAGGGCCAGGTTGGATGAGGCTTTGAGCAACCTGGCATAGGGGAAGGTTTCCCTGCCCATGGCAGGGGGGTTGGAACTGATGATCTTTGAGGTCCCTTCCAACCCAAATCATTCTATCATTCTATGATCCTGCTGATTTCCAACCGAGTGCAGAGGCCAGCACAGAGCAGCATGGATCAGTTGGTATAATCTGGAATTCTGAAAGCTTTGCTATTTCCCAGCTGTCAATTCATTTTTTTTCCTGGTAACTCATCTCCTGGGAACTGCATGTATTTGTACTTTTCGAGATTATATTTCTTTTATCAACAGTTTTTTTGAGTTGGGCAAACTCAACTTTTATTTGCAATATTCTTAACATTTTTAGGTCTGAAAAATCATGTCAGAAATAGTGCTTGAACATCAAAATTGCAAGTTTGATGCAGGGATCTTTCCAAATAACAGTATTCCTGTTCTTATTACATAAACCTACTCTGTGGGATTTGCTAACCTCATACTGTAACAATGTTAACACAGCTCCTAGCCAAATGAGAGGTGGATGGATTGATGGAGGTTTGATAATCACAAATAACAACTTGTTGGGGCCATGAGCCAGTAGCTAGCATGAGTCTCAAAACAAACATGGATCGAGGACAGCAGGAGACTTTGCCTGGGAGTCTCCCAGTTCCTTCCATGCCAATTCTTATCAGGATGGATTGGGCAAAGCTGTTTAACCTCTTCTTCTTTCAGAGTGGATGATTATTTTCCAAAATCGCATGGATGCTATGACAGCTAATTAATTATCACTGTGTTGTGCTTTACAAATGTAATTAGTATAAAGAGGGTTAGTAGCAAGAACCACTGCACAAAAAATGAAGGTGAACAGAGATAGCATGCTAGAAAGACTTCAAGCGTACTAATATAGAAAGAGGAGAAAAACAATAAATAAGGAAAGGAGATTTGAGTACCGAGTACAGAAGAGATGTGTATGAAAGAAAAAAGAAAAAAGGTGCGCTGCCTTCCAAAAGTAGAGGAAGGGAATAGGAAATTAAAAATTAGAAGCAAGGCATTGAGATGAATGGATCTGAAGTATAAAGAGACGAAAAGAAAATGAAAAAGATGTAATAAAAGCTGCCTAGCCTTTAAAGTAATGAATCTTTTAATTTATTTATACTCTTTTTTGATTTTAGAGGAAAATGGTAGCACACATACTGAGCTCACACTGTGTTAACACAGTACAGCTCTTAATTCCTCGATTATGTTGTTAAATAATTAACTGATGAATCATAAGTAAATAATTGGAACTTGGTTCTCCAAGGCTCACAACTGAGAACATAAAACCGTCACAGTGATATTAGATTTTAGCAAAACCTATATTGTAGTTAATTAGAAAAACTGGAAAAAAATTTAAAATCTGCAACTACAAAGACTGCTAGGAGAAGCACTTGGACTCTATTTCCCCATGGAACAAAATAAAATGGATCATCTATTATTTAAATCTCCTATATTAAAGTTACATCTGGAGAAGGTGGAAGCATGGATTGCTAGTTCTTCTGCAAAATACCTAGACCTTCCCTGGGCCTTGTCCTGTTGGAGAGGGTCTGTGCAGGAAGATAGGAAA